GGTGCAGGAGTAGTCAGCACTAAGAGAACATTTTATTATTATTCAGACTTCTAGGACTTAATTCTTTTGTCTAAGATTCCATCAGGCCAGCTCTTTAGTGAGTTCAACCAGTATTTTACATGGATTAATCCTGGAGCTCAGACTGTTATCATTCAGCATTCCTTTTTCTCTGTCTTCTTCCAGCAAGGCTCAGGGTTTAGAGCCAGAGGTGGTGTGTGTGTATCTTTTTTCTCATTCTGAAACCCTAGTTTTAGCACTCTGTGGTGCTGGTGATGGAAAAGCTGGTTACACTAAAGCCTCTTCCTGAATGTATTTTTGACGATTCATCAAATCATTTGACATTCACGACTTTACTTAGCTTTGGACATATTAAGTAACTCAGAATAATCTGGAAACAAATAAGTTCTTTAGTCAGCCTATGTATTTGATCTTCTAAAATATTTATACAAACATATGTAAAGTATATTATCCCATAAACTCTGTGGCTATGCATATGGCTGTGCATATTATGATAGTCTGGGAGTATGAAATTTAAAACTCCAAATGATTTTCATAAGTAATACATATTAGTGAACATAGTTCATTTTTTTAAACTTTTAATCTGTGATGCAAATAAGCACCACAATTGATGCAGAAGATGGAAGTCCATTTTGTTGTATATTTCTGTACATACATGATGGGTGAAGACTTACTGGTGTTTATTTCCACCTATTTCTTACATGGAAATCCATACTTTAGTTAATTTGAGTTGCACTGCACTTTCTCTGCTATTTGCTTCTTGTGAATTTGGCCTTCTATGTTATAATGTTTTAATTCAAGCATTTTCCTCTTCTCCTGTCTTGCATCCAGAAGAGGTCGGCTGTGTTCTCCCCTGATACCACATGTTTTGGCCATGACTGAGTTTTGGCTGCTTGGCACCTTCAGAGTTTAGCTGTTGGTGGGTGGCCTCTGGGCCTTCTTTTCATGAAGAAGGTTGTGAGGAAGTTTAGAAATCAGAAGCCTTCTATGGGGCTAATCGGCAGCCCATTGCCATTCTTGAGGATTCTGATCATCTTTGATACCCAGAGATTAGACCCTTCTTTGGCTCGTACTGAGACACTCAAAAGTCATCCAACTTTAAGCATTTTTTTAGCAGTGGGAGCACTTGGTTGTAGTTAGCAGGCCAGAATGAGCTATAAATAAATAAAACTCTACAGTGCTTGCTTCCTTCATGCAGGGTAGTCTGCTGATAAGATGCAAGCATCTGGCATAAGAGAAGATTCTCAGCAGGTTTAAGTGCTTTCCTGTATCCATGGCTCAGCTTCTGGTCTCTGCTGTGTTATTTTGGCACTCTAGCCTTGGAAGATTGGAGAGTTGAGTTTAAAACTCTCAATATATCATTAGGGTAGCCCAAGGTCCCTTCTTGTCAAGGTAGACTAGCTGATTCCAGGGGGAAGGAAAAGCAGAATCTAGGGCACCTGTAAATCCCTGTAGTTTTGTGCTGTGGGTTTGTAGCTAATTATATAGCAGGCAATAGTAATATGTTGTAGCTCTGTTGGCATACTTGTTTCAGAAAGAGAAAATCTTCCAGCAGAGCCAAGAAGGAGCTTTAAAGGGGCTGCAAATGAATGAAGCCACGATCATTTTATTGTAAACGAAAGCTCTGCAGTGGAGTCCGGGCATCTGAGCTGCAAGGAGGTGGTGGGGGAGATGCCAATATAAATACATGATTCAGATGTGTTTTACAGCTCTTGATCTGGATTCTCCGGCAGAAGCATAGTCACACAAGGAGACCACCACTGGTCACAGCCAGTCAAATTGCTGTTTCTCCTATGGTACTGCTGTTAGTGACTGCTAGTAGGTTATTCAGTCGACCTCTTCTGATTCTGCTTTGCTGCCTGATTTCAAAAGATTTGCCCAATCCTGGCTCTCAGTTACAGCTTCATGTAACCACTGCTTGTTTGCATGCATCCCCATCATTTTCATATAGGGTCTTTTTTTCCCCTTCCAGTTAGAAGGCAAAAGAATCAGGAGCATTTTTATATGATAAAAGATTTATGTAGGGCCAGCTAGAATCAAGCAAAATGAAATTCAGCTGGAAGGGATGGTAAAGGGCTCAGAGAACTTGTGACTCCAGAGAAGTTGGTGTTCCTTAAATAAAGAGGGTTCAGCCAGCAGGCAGCAACTCTGACTTTGCTTTCGTATTGAGGCAGGCTCTCCAGCCATTCTAAGCAGACAGATCAGTAAAATTAGAGGTGACTTAATGCCGAGCACCTCAGAATTCAAAGGATTTCTCTTGTCCTTTTTTAAATTTAGTCTATATTGATGCGGAATGCTAGCCTCAGGAACTGAGATGAGAAAATGCCAGGTCTAGATTCTGGTTTTTGACACCATATTTAGCAGTGTCCTTGGAAAGCTTCCCCTTTGGTTTCTCAGTTATCACATCTGTAAAATGGAGCTAATCTACTGGAAGGAAAATGATTCTAATATTTTTCACAACATTGTGAATGAAGATTCATCATCGAAAGTGCTCTGAAGAGCCTAAACAGGTGTCTTACAAGTGAATTTATACTCCTTTTTTGTATTTGAAAATGCAATTGATTGCCTTATCAGAGATTGAGAAATTTGGTTATTTTTGCGTGATGAGTATGCAGTGAAATGTGGCAGATTTTATTTTTAGCTATATAAGTGGGATATTTGACTCATACAATCTCTACGTTAGTTGGTTATTTTTGTGCAGACCACTGAACTAGCTTTCTACTGTATCACAGTAGTGTGCAGTATGCCACATCGGTCATTTTCTTAAATTGATCAAATAGCCCCTGTATAGAGTTACAAAATATATAGATGATTGTTATGGACATGGGTAAATACTTACCTGGTAGTAGAGAGTTTAACCTTCCTTCTCTGCTCGCCTCCCTGACAGATCCACAGAATCTTATTCTATTGATACCAAAGGGGATAAACTGACTCTAAACTTACCTCTTATGTGATTGATTTGAGGCCAGTCCTTTAAAAACTGGAGATGTTGGGAGTTTTGTTCTTATCCCATACTGTGTAGATGGTGCATAATTCCTATAACAAAGCAGCAGGGGGCTTCCCGCGAGAGCTTGAGGATTGCTGATGGAGAAGGGCTGGCTTTTTGTTGGTGGTGTTCTTTTCAATTCAGGCCTTTTTCTGCTGAAAACTTGACCCTCATCCTGTGAAGACTCCCTAAGGGATTAGAGTAGTTACAGAAGCAGTGAGACCATTTTATTAGTGTAAAATATTGGTTAACAGTTGAGAGAGACTATACTGGTTTCTAAATTCGAGAAACCTGGATGGAAGGAGCCTGAGATTGCTTTGGTTGTAGGGTTCTTCTCTTTGAACTGAGGCTTATAGTTTAGAGACTGTGCAGGTGGCCCTTTTCTTTAGACTCCTTTTTATATCTTAAAAGGAAGACTTTCCTATATTTTCATTAGCATTTACTGTTAGTTTTCTGCTTCTGCTCTAGAACCTCTGCATACTTTTGGTTTGTTGATGAGGGCCAAGTGCATTCTAACTAAGGACCTCTTGTAAAATGAATCTCATTCCCCTGAATGAGAGGCTGAAAGACTCCAAACAGCAAATGTGCAGGTTTTTGCACTCGGAGGTGGCTCTTGCTGCCTTATGGATTTGCTCTGTGATACAGGTTTGATGCAAAGAGCATTGCTACTCACAGATCACGCGAGGTATAGTTTGTGTGCAGCGATATGTCACAGCTCTTTATTTATATGGCCGGCTCAGTCTGTTCTGCTCCTTTCACTGCCATGGAAAGTGCATCATTTTCCTCCCACTCTCCTCTTTCCACATACCATCAGCACCACCCACTATGTTCTGCCCATTAAGTCCCCTGTGTGCCAGAAAACCCCAACAGTGACTAAATGCTGATAAAAGAGTGTTAGAAGGTTAAGATAATCAACCCATCAACCCCCTTATAGGACTCCTAAATTGTGGGTGGTAAGTATAACTTTTCCCTTTTAACATTGAAAATAAGGGTTTGATTTTTTTTTTTTTTTTTTTTTCCAGTTGAGGAAGTGACAAGTCAAATTAAAGGGGGGGGGGAAGCTTTGGTGTCAAAGACCAAAGAGAATGCAGGAGACTTGCTTTTCACTTTCCATTCTTACCCTAGTCTTTCTTTCACGATTTGGAAATATTCTTTCTCAGGAAATTCTAGGGCTAGCCAAATTTAGGTTAAGGTTTTATTTATGGAGGACCTAGAGATTGTAAGCTTACAGCAATTTTTAAAAGTCATTATGTCCCTAAATTCATTTCACTTAAAAAATATTAATTAATTCATTTTTAACAGTTATACCACTCTAGTCATAGAATCATTAATCATCACATTCCTGCATGCTTTTCAGTTTCTTTAAGCTCCTGTGGCACAGAGTACACTCCTTTCCTACACCACCTCCTACCCCCATCCCAGCCCAGTCTACAGGAGGAAGAGCAGGGTTAAAGAGAATTAGAAAAGGGAGCTGGGAACCCAAATGCCCGGCTTCTTTTCTCTAGAGGAGAGTTTGTAGGTTCATCGCACATCCTAGAAAATCAATGAAGGTGGGAGAGGCTGTGGAATCAACGTCTCTGAACCTCCTTATTGCATTTTTAGTAAAATAGGAACAAGTTAAGAAGATTCTCTGAGAATTTTGTCGAGAATTATGTTTCTTGTTGAAGCTTAAGATAATATGCCATATTATACAGCTTTAATTTTCATGAGCCTGTGGTTTATCCTTATTCTGAATTATTTTTTTGTAATAGAGCTATAAAAAATACTCCATGGTAAATACATTTTGACCCTTTCCATCAACAGCTGCTGTGGTGAGGTAGGTCAGGAGGCGGAGGCACCCGGGGGGTTGAAGGGTAATGAGCACTTAATTATGTCTGCGGAATGCCAGAGCTGCCACACTGGGGCTCCTCATGACTGGTCTGTATCTGCTCTGACAATTCCTTTATTATGGCTTTCACTAACCTATCAATAACTAACTGTGGTTGTTTAATTACAGGGGGAACATCCCCACGCTAAACAGGTACCGTACATTTAGTTTTTTTTTGTTTTTTGTTTTTTCTCCAATTAAAAGCACCTTTTAGGAAAATCAGGGGAAAAAATAACACTACACTTGACAAGCTAACATGTTATTTTTCTGCTAGGGAGTCCTGAGCTCCCCTTTGGACATGCTAAATTATTTTTTCTGTTTGGAAAACATGTCTTCAGCTTTTCTTCAGCCATTCAAAAACCAATGCTTGAAAAGCCTCAGTATGGAACAGCTCCTGTCTAGCTGTGTACAATAGGGGAATCCTCTGCCCGATGTTTTTGCTGTAAACATCTTATTTTGCTAAGTTCTCTGTTTGGGGCTTTCAGAGGAGAAACCCTTACGGTTACTCCTATCCTGGCAAATTGTTCATCAGCTTTTCAATTTATATTTTCTCTAATTTGCTTCTCCTTTTAGAGGAACACACATGCAGAAATAGCTGATCTCATGTTTTATCAGTTTGTTAGCTATTTTTCTATAAAGTGTTATGATGCTATGAAAGTCAAGTTTTATTTCAGACCTGTAATGAGATTACATTGTAAAAGTGTATCTGAAGTTTTGATGTGTGTAGCCCTGTGAAACATTTCCAGACCAGTATAACACAAGTGATATTTTAATATTTTGATTTCCTTCTGCTCCTGAGCCAAGCGAGGCAACACAATGCAAGTTTGAGAGGATAGCAATTCTGACTGGAATCCACAAAGTGCTTAAAGCCGTAACACGTTGGTGCTGACGTCTTTGTAGATGATCAGTTATTTGTTGAAATATTTATAGGCTTATGTTTATTTTGTCCCTCTCCCTTTAAATATTAAGTAATCAAAACTGTGTATAGCTTTTGGCATCCAATTTGGATGGGGAGAGGAAAGGGAGTGTTTCGTTTGGTCCTCTTGTCTGCTCTTGAAGAGTGGGCTTGCTTCACTCCTGCTTGCCTTTAGCTGTCCTGGTCCAAGACCATAGTAGTGGGGGAAACTGAAATGTGGGTATTTCCAGTGGGGTTCAGTTGAGTGAAAAAGATTCTTAAACCAATGTTTGCCACAAACATAGACTGTTAGCATCTTCAGAGGGGGTTCCCTTTAAGGGTTATCTGGATTCTCTTTCCTGTCTAATGCCAGGCAGGAAGAAAAGATACAATGCCTCACAAACTTGCTCCTTTACTAAATATATTTGGTGATCCTAGAAAAGGGTGATAGCACTTCTGAGTTCATACAGCTCTGAATCCCAGTTTCTAGTGAGCACCATGTGTAAGACTTGCTTGATGTGTGTTTCATTTGTCTGTTTCATTCATGGTATCAATGGTTTCCTCTTCCACTCTACCTTCTAGTCCCTGGTACTGTCAAAAGTTGAAGTACTTTTTCATAGTCATCATTTACCAAAGGAATAAAAACCGGGAGTGTCAGTCTCTAATAGTCTGTGTGAGCAGCACTCCCATTCTGTAAAAAATTCCATTGCCTTTTATAATTACAGTTCGCAATAGAGTACGGTATGTACCCAGATCTCTAGCCCACCTTGCTGGCTCTCTTGCCCCCTGCAACACTGCAGGCAATGCACTTCAAGGAGTTTTTTGAGCAGCTCCCCAAAGTTCAAGTGCCATTGCCTTGCTCTGAACGTGCTTTGGATCAGTATGCCGGTAACATGTTGGGCAAGGCCTGGAGGCATCCTTTAGTTTGGTCCTTCCTAACAGACTTTCCTGATTGACTGGGCATCACAACCACTTTACAGTAGTATCTCTCAGTACATACTGCTGAGGTGCGTCAAGGAATATCCAGATTCATTATGTTTTCAGATTGAACAAATCAGTTCTCTTTGAGCATCTCCATTTACACTTGTTCGTCATGCTTACACATACTTTGAAATCCATGCTCTGCCCTTTTGTATCTTGCTGGAATTCATTAAGGGCTTTCAATGAAGATATGTTTACTTTGGTATAGAAATGTGTTTAAATATAAAAAAGGAAATTTTGCAAAACTGTCTCTCTTTCAAAAAGGGAGAAGCTATAATCCTCATAACTGTGCTCCCCATCAGCCCATTCAAGGAAAAAATAGATACCTCAGTAAAGTTCCTTTTACAGATTGTTACTTGTTTCTCTCTGATGAATTGTATTTTTTATAATGATTTACTAAGCCATTCCAAATGACTTAGAGTTGTTGTTGATATGCATATACCTATCTGTGAATACTTAATCTATTACAATTCCTAGAGAAAAATGCCTTAAGTGTTGCCTAGTTACAACTCACTTGGCTTGTTTACATCCTTTTAAAAGAGGAGATGTTTTAAGGAAGGGGAAGATGCAGGATGGTTTTTAACCCCTATGTGCTATTCATTCGTTAGACATGTCATGATGTCATGGTATTAAAACCATGACAGTCCTTAGATTTTTATGTGGAGAAATTTGGTGGGGGGATTGGTAAAAAAATATGGTTTGTGTGAGGGGAAATTCCAGTGGAAGGGTTCATGTGAATCTAGCAAGACAGCCTTATCTATAGTGGGTAGAAAACCAAACCTGCTCTGCAACCTGACCCTACCTCAGCTTCCTCCCAGCTCCTTTTCCCTGTTGTGACTCTCCCAGTCCTTGTTCCTACTCTCCTTGTCTAATGCACTTGATTGAATTACCATTTAGAATGTCCTTCTCCTCCAACCTCAACCACTATGGCATGACTCATGTAGCTAGTGTCAGCGACGTGCTGCTGGACAACTCATTCACTCCACCGTGTCAGCGGATGGGCGGAATGGTCTCTTTTCGGACTTTTGAAGATTTTGTCAGGTAAGGCACCATGGAACTGTGTCTATACAAGGGGAGCCTTGGGCATCTCAGAATTCTGCCAAATGAATAGAGGTGCCCTGATTAGCCACGGCCCAGCTAAGGAGATGTAGCCCTTGCGGTATATGCTCTGGGAGAGGTGTAGGTCCTTCCCTTTCCACCTCTGTGCAGACTCTACAAGCCTCTACTTGTTATATGAGCCTGGTCAGGAAAAAAGAAACAAACAAAAACCATCTTTTCCTTAGTAGCTAACACAAGAAACTGTCTGCTCTGTGATGAGTGAAATGTCAGGAGAAATTAAATACAACACTAGAGTGAGCCCCACCAGAGACGATACATCTTTTGATTAAATGCATTCAGCATCTATCTCTTGATGTATACTGATGCATTACCCTAGGGGGAGGGGTAATTACATTGGTCTGTCACTGCTTTAGTCCCAGGCTCTTTCTGTTACTTTAAGACCGATGATGACAGCAGCACTGCTCATATCTTACATATGAAAAAAACAAAACAAAAAAGCTTCAGATCATTCTTTTTTAAAAAGAAGAAATATATATGGTTTATTAAAGTTTAAACAATCCATCCTCCTAATTTCTGCCACTTGGTGAAATTTTGCATGTCACCTCTAGCCACTGGTGATTGTATTCAGTTGACAATTGAGTGCAGGGTAGGATAGATTATTCTTTTAGACAGAGCTAGCAATGGCAGCGTTAGTCTCCTGCCACTTAGATTTTCTGCCACTTGGGTTTTCATCGTGGGTGTTTCTTTGGTATTTTTCAGGATCTTTGATGAAGTGATGGGCTGCTTCTGTGATTCGCCACCCCAAAGCCCCACGTTCCCTGAGGCAGGTCACACATCTCTATATGATGAAGACAAGGTATAGTGTCCCCTTTGGGAGACTGCTTTGCTCCTTCAGATACAGGATTTGTACTATATACTCTCTTTCTGATTGTAGAACATTGTAGGGAAGAATTCATCTTTTTACCCTACTTTATATTATTTAATTTTATATGCCTCATCAAAGTATTTTTAGAAACAGGTGGAATATAAATTCTAACCTAAAAATAAAAACCACTGTACTAATCATGGAATCCATAGCGTAGAATGAGGCCGTCTGTATCCATTGCAGCTGCCTCTAGGTCTCTGAATGTTGTTTCAAAGACTTGAGCTTTGATTGCTTTAATTCTTACTCAGTAATGGCTTGTATATTTGCAGAGCAGTGCATTCGTAGTCTTCAAGGAATTGTGGGCTTCAGATAGTAGAAATAATCGACATTTTGTTTAAAATTTTGTCCTTTTATTAAACCCTTCTTTCCCTTCTTTTCATTTCTCTGCAAACACATCCTGTTTCTTCCCTACCAGGTTATTTTCCCATGGTTTGATACTTCCACTGTTTAGAAATATGTTATATGGGAATATGTTCAGATGGCTTCTTTCACTCATTTTCCTTTACGTTCTGTGAAGAGATATTGCAAATGGTTTCATTCCCATTCTATTGGTGAAAAAGTTGAGACATAGTGGTCTTCAAGTTCATATCAAGCCAAGATTTGGGGCCGCCTTTAGCTAATGCCTTTGCTGCCTTATTTTTTTAAAGTTAGGTGTCTTTATTTAATCTCCATTGTGGGTGTTGGGCAGTGGTTTCATTTTGCTTATTCATACTAGCAGAAAATGTCCTGTGGGCCATATCTGTTTTTCAGGTTTCCTACCAAGTACTATAACTTCTCTCCATCTCTGTATTAGCCAGCCTCCTAATTTCCTTGCCTTGTGTTCTTGGGTTACAGATCCCCAGGGATGAACCAATTCACATTCTGAATGTGGCTATCAAAACTGACTGTGATATCGAGGATGACAGGCTAGCAGCTATGTTCCGAGAGTTTACCCAGCAAAATGTAAGTCCTCAGTTGGATGGAAACTGGTGATGGCCGCTTTCCTTCTCGCTGTGTGTCATATCCATCCTTTTATCAGTTGCTACATATAAGGCCTATCACTGATAACGGCTATGTCTTTCACATAGTTCTGCTTGTAGGGGTAAAATTCCGAAGTGATTCAAAAGTATAAGATGCATATATTTTTTTATGTCAAGAAATTTAGACCTCAAATGTTTAAAATGTTTTAAGGAAGGGAAGTTGTATTTCTGAATCTTTTCCAGAGCTCCAGTCTGGAACTTCCAGTCACCTGCTGAATTCCCTTTGGTGACTTAACTCTGCATGTCTAGGCCCAAACTCCCTTCAGGCACCCTCTGAGCCCTTCCATCCCAGCCTTGAAAATATCAGTTATACTTCCATCCTCCTTGCAATTTTATGCCACTTGGATATCTTGTGTTGACATCAAACTCCATATAGTTTAAATGTAAATTCCTATCATTTTCCTTCACCTCTTCTGGTTCCCCCTCTCCCCTATCAAAAAGCTAAACAAAAACAACAAAAAAAAGCAAGTAACCAAACCCTTTGCCCCCAGTCATGCAGAAATCATTGACTTCTTCCTTTTGTCTGCTGTTCCATTATTCTACCCCTCCTTTCCTACCCACCTTTCCTTCCTTCCTTTCTTCCCTCCCCCTTCTTTTCAGTTTTTAAATTCCCACTGCCATCTTTCTAGTCTAGACCCTTCCCCACCTTATACCTGAGACACTGCGACAGGTTTACTTGTGATCCTCACTCTTCCCCTCCAGATAGTTTCCATTCTGCTCACTACCACAAAATTAAATGTCTAAAATGCTCCCTTACCAAGTTACTCTCCCACTCAACAGTGACTCTCTTGCCTTCAGGATACCTCCTTACCTTGATATTTGACATCAGCCTATTAATGAAGGCTAACAATCTAGCCTTTGCTGTTCCATGAAAAGACCTAAGTCTTTATCTCATCTACCTCGTTTGCTTGATCTCTTCTACTGCCCCTTATCTGGAATGTTTTCCTCTTTGATTCTTTCTTCCCTCCCTCATTCCCTTCTCTCCGCCCCCCCCCCTTCTTTCTAAATCCTGCTTGTTTTAAGAACTGTCTCAAAATTTCCCTCTTTTATGAGGACTTCTCTACATAGCCCTAACTAAAATGTATTCTTCTCCCTTGAATTTCTAATTGGTCAGCATAAATTGATTAACAGTAATAATACTTTTTATTTTTAAAGACCGTATAAATTTTTTTATTTGCACCTTACCACAATCCCATGGGGTTAGATTAGTCTGGAATTATTTCAATTGTACATGTGGGAAAAAGCTCAAGCTCGAGAGATTAAGGCCCTTTAATCACCAGCTGGTAGATGATACAGCAAAACCTAGAATTTAAGGCTTTGATGCCAGCTCTAGGGGGCACAGATCTAGGTGCTTTAGTAAATAAGACATTCCTAGCCCTGAAGATGCTTAGAGTCTAATGTTCAAAATAATCATCTACAGTTATATTTCATTACGATATATGATAGTTGCCAAAGTACCCTTCCTCAACTGCCCTTAATGACAAGACCTATGGGTGTTCTTTGAATGGAAAGCACCTAGTCTGTAGTGCTTGTCATAAAGAAAGAACTCAATAGATTTTTTTTTTTTAGATGTTGGGGGTAGGAGTTTATTAATTAATTAATTTATTTTTGCTGTGTTGGGTCTTCGTTTCTGTGCGAGGGCTTTCTCTAGTTGTGGCAAGTGGGGGCCACTCTTCATGGCAGTGCGTGGGCCTCTCACTGTCGCGGCCTTTCTTTTTGTGGAGCACAGGCTCCAGACGCGCAGGCTCAGTAGTTGTGGCTCACGGGCCCAGTTGCTCCGCGGCATGTGGGATCCTCCCAGACCAGGGCTCGAACCCGTGTCTCCTGCATTAGCAGGCAGATTCTCAACCACTGCGCCACCAGGGAAGCCCCTCAATAGATTTTTAAAAATTTAATTCAGCAGTATAAACAGTTAGTGCCATAGACATTCACATCATATAATGCTAATGGTTGATACCCAGGAAAAGATGGTAATTTTATGCTTAATGTGTGCCATAGCATTTTCCCCATGATGCTGTCACAGCACATGAACTGACTGTGGGATTGTGGTGAGGAAAGTTCCTCCCAGAGAAGTAAAAGTAGGAGTCATGCCTCAGAATTTTTCTTTAGAAGAGAAATCTAACTTCCTTCTTGCCCTTGACTCATGCATGACCACATAAAATTAACCAGAGACCAGTGACCAAGGTGACCTTATTTGGAAGAGTCCTAATGTTGTGCATGGCTACTAATGCTGTTGCTTGATGGAATAATCTATGAGAGTTCCTTCCCAGGTTTTGAGACACTAATTGATTGTTTTGACCTCAACTTTAGGCTTTTTATTACCCTCAGTTCTAAGTGACATATATCATCACACCTTGATTTAAAGAGGCAGTTTCTTCATTTTCACTATGTATATTTGTAACATTAATTGATGATAAGAAATTACCTTTTTCCTTTACTGGACTTGTATACTGAGGCAGAGAGAAACCCAGAGTCTGCCTGTGGCTGTTCAGTAGGGGAAGGGGAGACTGTGCCAACATTCCAAGCTTGAAGAATCTATTTAGTGCATCACGCGCCGTGCTTACCCAGGCATATTAGGCATTTTCACCTACTTGTTGTGAAAAAAAATATAAAAAAGAAAAGGAAGCAAAAGCAATTTTTTCAAAAAGCCGAAGTGATAACTAGTTTTGTTTTTCACTTCATGATCATGCTCCTAGCAGTTTAGAAAAAGTATTTTTTTTTTTAAGCACACATTAAACTATCAAATAGGTTGATCCAAATTGTCCAAATAATCTTCTAGTCCCAGCATGTCTTTTTTTCTCTCATAGAAATTAGGATCGTATATTTGTAAATGACTTGTGGAGGAGATTGAAGCAGCCAGTGTAAATGGAGTTTCTCCAGGTGCTGACGCCTAATCGCTGGGTAATAGCTGTGGACTTGCTGTGAGACCCGCATTATTACAATGTAATCAGAATCCTGTTGCTCTGCTGTTATTGTCAGCCACTTGTGGAATTTTTAAAGCAATAACAATTTTGATTTTAAATTATGGCATTATTAAAGTTATTTTCTTCCCTGGCCAGAACATAGCTATTGATGCTTGTCTCTGAAGGACTTGGCTGTAGTGGAATTCTTTGTTGGTGTCAGAAGAAATGTTTCTGTTCCTTGGCACACTGAGAGTCAGAGGACCACCAACCGCCCCACCGCACCTCTTTCTTCCTCCCTCCCTCTCCCCTCCCTCCCTTCCTCCCTCCCTTCCTTCCTTCCTTCTTTCCTTCCTTCCTTCCTTCCTCCCTCCCTCCCTCTCTCCCTTTCTTTTCTTATACTACAAATACTTGGTTATTTACCCTAATGGATATGATACCAATCTTTTTTTTTTTAATTAATTAATTTATTTTTGGCTGCACTGGGTCTTCATTGCTGCACACAGGCTTTCTCTAGTTGTGGTGAGCAGGGGCTACTCTTTGTTGCGGTGCGCCGGCTTCTCATTGCAGTGGCTTCTCTTGTTGTGGAGCACAGGCTCCAGGCACACAGGCTTCAGTAGTTGTGGCACACGGGCTCAGTAGTTGTGGCTCGCGGGCTCTAGAGCACAGGCTCAGTAGTTGTGGCACACGGGCTTAGTTGCTCCGCAGCATGTGGGATCTTCTCAGACCAGGGATCGAACCCGTGTCCCCTGCATTGGCAGGCGGATTCTCAACCACTGTGCCACCAGGGAAGTCCCCCAATTATTTTTAAATGTAGTTAAACCAAAATTTATTTATATTTGACCTGGGAATTTATTATTAGGAAATTAATTTTTTCCAGTTATCTTTTACTTATCCTGTTCATTTTGTTACTAAGCAACGCCATAGTAAAAATGGGAAGATAAGAGGAAATGGTCCAGGGATGTGCTTGTTTATGAGGGGTAGCCAATTTGGATTTAAAAACTATATAATATCAAGAAAGTTAAGAATTGGCTTATGGGTATATCTCTCGGTTAAAGAATGTGATCAGATTAAAGTCCGGGTGTAGGTTGTGAAAGTCCACATATTTTTTCTATTTGTGTTATTCATGTATGTTTTCAGGTCATTCAGTGGGTGGGATTGCTTTTCTACTTGCTGCCATGTAGCCCCTCTTTATTAGGGACCTTTAAGAGCATGTCTTTTACTTAGCTCATTAATCTGTTTCTTTCTCTCTGCCTTTTGAGATGAGAGAGCAGTACAGGATAGAGGAAGGCTTAGAGCCAAAGGCCCAAGACTCACGTAAGGGGCTGTCTTGAAACTGCTGGTCTCTTCTAATATACTGCTTGCCTGTACCAAGCGGAAGTATGAATAATCACTAAATTTAAAAGCCTGTTAGACATTGTTTTTAACAACTTTTAAAGAGAATCTTTTAAAAAATACCTTCATATAAAGTAGGGAGGAAATGTTTTAGAGCTGAAAAGGTTAGGATTTGTTAGTTCTAATTCTGGGAATGCTGTATCAGATGGTAGGTGATGTCTATAGTCTAAATAACAGTTTAGTACTTGAATTTTCCATTTTATGGAATTTCTTCTTTTCCCTCTACCTGATTTCGTTTAGCTTCTATATCAGTATTGATCTTCACATTTAAATACAAGCCCACCAGTGTAATTTCTATAAGGAGAAATTGTGTTAAGGTCTACCTTGATATGTATCAGTCCTTAGAGAATTTAGGTGGCCTCATATGACCTTTTCTCCTCCACAGAGTTCTCTTTCGGTTTTGTCCAGGTCAATATTTAAAACCTATTCTGTAAGTCTTATTCCCAGGAGCCAGGTTGAGATTTGTTTACTTGCAAATTTGAAGATACTGAGTCAAGACATAGATATCCAAAACAGTGCTTAGTGCAATCACAGCCTTCTGAGGACTGAATGGGCTAAAATTTAGGATGAATGGAGATCTCATCTAGATTCTGTTTTTGCATGTTTGTTTGTAGAAAGCTACCCTGGTTGAGCATGGGATCCGGCGCCTTACTTTCCTGGTTGCACAAAAGGTATTGGCATGTGAATTATGCATCTCTTTAATATTTCTTATGCTGCTGCTAGAACTTTAAAAGTGAAAAATGGAATTATAATCATATGCTTACTTGTAGAATTTATGCAAAGAAATAACTGTTTTGGTATAAATTTAATCAAGAAAAAGCATTAAAGTCATCACCTTTTACTCAATTGGTTTTTAATTTTATTGCTAATTGCCCTCTTCTTCTGTTGTTCCTTCCTTTCTGTCTTTTATTTGAAAGGATTTCAGAAAACAGGTCAACTATGAGGTGGATCAGAGATTTCATGTAAGTAAGAGCAACAGTGGTGAAAGATTACTTACTGTTTTATCTGTTACCTGCTGATTATTTAGAAGGACTGGTCTGATGTTTGGTCCCTCTTCTTTGAAAAAGTATTATAATGAATATTCAGTTCTTCTATAGCGTATTCAAACTAAAGGTTTTTTTTTTTCCTCCTTTTCTACCCTATAATGAATTCTCAGTATATGTCTGAGAAATAGTTAAGAATGAGCACATGCATTTATCCAGATGAATAAGGTAGAAGCAGGAGCTAGCTAGTAATTTCTTCTGTGCACACAGCGAATCAGTAATCAAGGACTGCCAATCGTACTTGGGGTCTTGGCTTCTACCAAAGATGGATTCAAGTTCTGTTACTGAGAACTGTCAATTCTGAAGAACCATCACTTATTATTTAAAATGCCTTAACAGAACCCAAATTGGTGTTTTCATCTTACATTAATTCTAGGAGGAGGAAATAAATAAAAATTAAGTTGCTTTTTCTCCCATTTAACTGAATTAACTACTAATATTTATGAGTTTAAAATTTTTATTGAAAAATTTTAATAAAGAGAGCTAAGTTAATAGCCTGACATCTGAACTGTGGTGTATATGTGTATGATCATACGCAATATGATTATAGCAGTGAGGTCAAAAATCCAGTTTGCAGTTAAGATGTCATTCTCCAAAATGGCTGATTGGAGTCACAATATTTCTTAAAAATTGATCCTAATGTGGTGAAGTAAGATTCCAAAGGATATTAAGAAGTCTTAATATTTCTGATGAGAATTTTATTTTGTTTTATTTTTAGCAATTAAGATGATTAAGTTAGTTTTCAAGCCCTGCTCAATGGCAATAATGAAGATAACATTTGGGATGCTGGAAAGGACTTCCTAAGCTCAAGGACCTGTGTGTGATTGCTTTTATTGCCCTTTTGTTTATTAGGTCTCTAGCACTTGACATTTTGTTTTCCTTCTCACGGTTCACCTTGTTGGTCTAGTCTATAGAGAAACAAGAGAGCCTAGCCTGCAGCTAAAGAGCTAGGATTTTCTAAAACGCTTTAGGAAATGTTGTGGACTCCACAACGCCCCTGTGTTATTGATGTCAGGAAATCAAGCAGAGTGCAGATATATATCAATCAATAACTGTAGATAGGAAACTGGAGGCAGTGGAGAAGTATGAGGAGCTTAAAGAGAACCCTGGGGCTTTAGGAAAAAAAATAAGGAGCTTAGAGAATAAAATTGATACTTGGGGATAGAGTATGAGAGCCCATGAATAAAAACTATAGCTGGTGGATGCTGATCAGAACGCAGGTAGACATGCTGGATCTGGGAGGAGTATTGGGCTAGGTTTTAGTGTTAATGTGATTTTTTTTCTTTTGTAACTGACTTTGGAATAATGCATTATTCTGGGGACTAATACTGAATTTGTAAAATTGTTTTCCTTTTTCCTGATGGTTCAGGCAGTCTTTGTGTCTATAGCACATGAACTGGTTTTTTATAATAAGCATTCTATGAGAAATTCAAACTCTCCACTAAAATTTTTTTAAAGCCAAAGCACTTAATTCTCATGGACATTGTTGTTTTTTTTTTTTTGATACTTTCTATCTTTGAATCTATATCCTGTCCTAGAATACATCTATAGATTTAAAACATTTTTTCTCCCTGCTCTCTCAATATTTCTGGATTTAGGTTGAATAGGGACATGTCTAAGCAAAATCTGCTAGGAAATCAGCCCAGCAGGGGGTCTTTCTGGGATTCATGGTACAGTTTCTATTTGTAGTGGCATCAAATGGGAAATCAGTTAAATTATCAAGTGACTTGATTTGTCATAAGTGTAGGAAAGGTTGTTTTAGGACGTAGAGAACATTAAGGTTTTAGGTATGGACTGGATTTGCTCTGAAGAATTGGATGGCAGAGGAGTTGGGGTGTTTTTATGTTAGGCCCCTGAGAAATGATTAGTGGTTACACAGGGGGCAAGGGCAACTATTACTGAACTCTGGCCGGGATCTTCAATAACCAGGAATCTTTGGCAGGAGTTGTACAAATCTGGGGCTCACTGTCATGGTGCTGCTCTGAGTTCCTCTGCTGGTGGTAACTTGAAGGACGCTTAGCCTCTGTCATGTCATCTTGTGTGCTTGCCCCATAATTAGTATAGTGTGAAAAAGTGGAAGCTTTCTGGAAGTGTTAGAGATGAATCACTTGACCTCTCTGGCTTCTTGGTAATCCACTGTGATGTATGCAGCCTCCCCTGTTCTACACTGCGAAATCCCTATATTATTGAGTAGAAGAGGGAATGTGTGCAGGAAGGGGCAAGGAGAGGAGGAAGGTTACCAAGTTTGGTTCAAGAACAACATTGGCTGGTGTGGAAGGAGGCAGCCGTGCTGTTACATAATCATCGTCTCTCAGACTGCTTCAGAACCAGAACAAGGCAAAAGAGGGACAGACCACGTGGGGGTTCCTAGAGAGTGTGTTTATTGTTAGGTGTTCATTCACATGCCAGCGAAGTCTGGAATTATTTCCAAAACTTCGTTGTTTAATCACCACAGTCCCCAAAGAGCTGTTCAGCTGAATGTCTGCTGCTGCCTAAGTCTCTTGGTTCTACGTGGAGACTGTTCTGAGCGGGCAGTAGTCACCAGCATTAGGAGGCTTGGTGTTGAGTCTGTTTCCATAACCATCTAATTAAATCAAGTACCCATAATGGGACTTGCATAATTGCTTAACATTGATTATTTAAACAGAAAGTTTGAGGAAAAACAAGTCTAGCCTTGTAAATATCTTCTTCATATTAAAAAAAAAAATTGTAGCCTCGAAAGCAAAAGGACAGGCTCTTTGAATTTCTGCAGCTATATAAGCTACAGTTCTCTAGTTTTATGAGTATTGTCTTTATCTGTTTCACTCACATTTCACATCTAGAATTCCAAAAAGTGCAGCAGAAGGTGTTTAATTGGAATATAAGTATTACTTTATGAAGCTTTCCATATTTTTTCCAGCAAAGTTTTGTTAAGGATACTAAAATGCATATTTCTCGGATTTCTTACCGTTTGCCACCTAAACAAAGCATTAGGTCTAAACCACGTGATGAGATTCCAAATCACTTTTTCATCTGTAAGTTTCCTTTTGTTTCTTGTTTGTAAGATTTCATGAAATTTTTAAAAATTCTGCTGTAAATCACCTAGGAGATAATTGCAGTTTTGCTGATTTTATGTGAGTGACTCCCACTTTAAATGTTTTGGATCGTTTGCGCCTGAAGGAAGAGCCCGCTATTGAAAACAGTTATCATGGTTAGTAGTTCATTTCTTTAAAAATAATTGATATGTCAATTATATCTCAATAAAGCTGGGAAAAAATGGTAGTTCTGTTTGCTAGTGGATCAACTATTTGTTTTTCAGAAGGTTTGGTTTGAGATTTTGTTTTAATTACAGTCTATATAATTAGTTCTCAGTGTGTTGAGGTAAAAGAGAATTGCACCAGCAAGCTTCCAATTTCTTCATCTCATTAGGTTTTTAACACGATTATTAGTATCATAATCAGCTATGATGTTTTCTGTTGCAGGTTTTCACATTCTCTGATTTGCAGGGTGTCTTGATTGGCTAATTTAGGCAAATTATTTTGATTGTCCTGATGATGGTTGGCTGATTAGAACACAGCAGGGGTATAATTTCTTCCTGAGAAATGTTGCATTCTTTTGTTTTTTGGTACCAGCACACTAAGAGGGTTTTTATTTGTGTACATTCAATTATGATATTTGCCTATAACACTAGTAGAATGCCTGGAAAGCAATTACATTAGTGATGGAATAAGCATGAATGCCGTTAGTGGAAAAATTGGCTGCGTGAGGATGTGGTAGGATGAAGGAATTTATTAAAACTACAGAATCAGGGCTTCCTTGGTGGCGCAGTGGTTGAGAGTCCGCCTGCTGATGCAGGGTACACGGGTTCATGCCCCGGTCCGGGAAGATCCCACATGCCGTGGAGTGGCTGGGCCCGTGAGCCATGGCCGCTGGGCCTGCGCGTCCGGAGCCTGTGCTCCGCAACAGGAGAGGCCACAGCAGTGAGAGGCCCACGTACCACAAAAAAAAAAAAAAAAGACAAACTAAGAATCAGACTTTTGGATTTCTTCTTTTCTGTGTTTTCTGTATTTCTGTGATTTTTGAGTGCCAAAAAAAAGTGACTTTCTGTAAAAGTCCTCAGACTTCCCTATCTCTTGAAGAATTGTTCATTAATCCTTGTATCCCGTTGCATGGAAGTTCTTGCCATCTTCTGTTCTGAATGCTTCATGCTAAATTGAGGACTTTACTGTGGAGCTAAAAATTTATTCAAAAGTTTAAGAACATTTGTTCATGTCATCTCATAACACCTTTTATCTTTTTGGCTGTGTTGTGTCTTCATTGCTGCGCGGGGCTTTCTCTAGTTGCGGTGAGCAGGGCCTTCTCTTGTTGCGGAGCACGGGCTCTAGGCGCGCAGGCTTCAGTAGTTGCGGCACGTGGGCTCAGTAGTTCTGGCGCACAGGCTTAGTTGCTCCGCGGCATGTGGGATCTTCCCAGACCAGGGGTCGAACCTGTGTCCCCTGCATTGCCAGGCGGATTCTTAACCACTGCACCACCAGGGAAGTCCTCATGACACCTTTTCTTAGCTAACCTTAATGAAAGTGATTTTTCTGATTTGTAGTCTTTGCCCACCTCCGCCAAGAATTCGTCAGTCTTTTTCATTATTTGTAGTAAAGATATTTATTTCCATTCACTTGTTTGCTTTTTGTGCCTTTCAGTTACTACACATTTTCTTAATTGCATTAGTAGTAAATAAAATGTTTGTTTCTTGCTTACTTTTGTTATGTTTTTGAAGGAAAATCATTTTGTTCCTACCACTGTACACACTTGAGTAAATGGTATACTAAAGTATTTTAGTTAACTAATTAAAGTTATGGAGGAATAGAGGAGTGTGTGCTTGAAAGATTGTATCATTACTTTTCTTGACTTTTCTTTCAGAAAATTTCATGGAAGGACTTTGTTACCCTTCCTTTTTTGACTTGTGTTACTTTTTAGCTAATGCTCTGAAAGCCATACCTCTTGAGAATAAAACCCAAACAGAGACTATATAAAGCCCTGAGCATGAAATCTACTGACAGCTCAGCTCAACATCTTCCTGCTTAACCTTGAAGTCATCCCCATGCTTTTCATTATCGTTCAGGGGGAATTAGAGAATCATTTAGGACAAAACACCATCAGTAAAAGACCAGTGCTGTGTAAATCCACTTTCAAAGGGCTTTTAAAGACCCAAGCCTGGACAAGTGGTTTCCCAGCCTTGATAAACAAGTTCCTAGAAGCCTATTAAATGCCATTTTACAGTTAAAATGCCAAGGAAAATGTAAAAAGATTTATTAACTGTGCAAGCTTTAGTTAAGGTGAAGCCTAAGACCTGTGGAAAGTATTCAAGAAGTTCTCCATCAACTCAAGAGCCACAAGTTTTGCTTTGTTTTTCCTTTTTTTCTTTAAAGTTTTAATTTCTGGGGTTTTTGTTTTTTGTCTCATGAAAGAGAAGTCCTCTAAATAAGGAATTTGGATTAAAATAAGAATAGAGAGACTTCCCTGACGGTCCAGTAGTGAGGACTCTGCACTTCCACTGCAGGAGGCTCGGGTTCCATCCCTGGTCAGGGAACTAATGTCCTGCAGGCCGCGTGGCACAGCTCGGGGTGGGGATGGTGGGGGGGGAAGAATAGATAGGTGACACCCCACACTTAAGAGGTAGAGATGAAAGGGCACAGGCTCTGGCATTAGACAGACCCAAGTTCACCTTTGGGGGTCACAATACTTTCCTAAGAGGTTGTTGACAGCATTCGGTGGTCAACACATGAGAGCGCTTGCCACCTACAAGGCTTTCAATTCATGTTTCCTTCATGGTTCCTGAAGTTCATTGAAGGGTATGTAGGCAGCTAGTCCTGGTCTCTCTGCCTTGTACCAATAAGTGTTTGATTACATTGCACTCATAATGAAGAAGATGCCTTAATAAAACTTCCTATAGAGGCAAATAGTGATGACTTGATTCCAGCACTGCCAGTAGAGCTTCCCATCCGAGAAACAGGGGTATTTGGTGTTAATAAGTTAAATTTCAGAAACTAATGGACTCTGCTAATTGAATTCATCTTTGTTAATTAATAAGGTTCTAGTAAATTGGTTGCTTTCTTGTGTAATGCCCTGCAAAAGAGCAGTAAGACCTAATGATTACACGTTCACTAGTTCCACCCCATTCTTTCCTATACATACAGTGGTATGAACCAAGGTGACATCTTGCACTTTTCTTTGTCTTGAAATGTCATTTTTTAAACCTTTGAAATTATTGACTTAAGAGTGAATGAGGAAAAAAAACATGGATTGGGGATTCTATGCTGTCTGGCTAGTTTACATTTTAAGAGTTTCTTAAGGAGAAACTTGGGAAATCAGTCCAGTAACTACTATTACAGGGCTGCAGAATTCAGGTGTGTTGGTCTTATTTGCCAGGTTCTGCCAAGAGCAACACCCAAGAAGACTTTTTCCACTTGGGAGATGAAAAAATACATATTTTTTCTTTCCCT